GCCTTCCTTTCTCCCCGACTAAAATTGATAGTGACGGGTTTGCTTGTTTTTGTCAAAACTAATGGCAGCCTTCTACAGAGTGAATGTGCATATTCAGGTTCTTGCATTTTAAGTTTGTGCCCATCATTCTATGTGACAATTACTGACTATTGTTGTTGATGGGTTTTATATACAGCAGAGCTTCCACAGCCTGGCAGCGGTGTGATCACAGTCACAGCACCAGCTAAACCCTCTCCACCAACCCCACCAAAGAGGATGACCCCCGTCACCAAGCGCCATTCCACAGATCCTTCCCCTCCCAGTCAGGTTCCAGAGTCTGTCACCACTGACCCAGCTGCTGCCCCTGCACCAGGGACCCCTGTTGTCCTTAGAGGAGATAACAGTGAGGACAAGACAAATGCAGCAGCTCCTCAGACCTCCACTGAGCCACCATCTTCACCACCCTCCCATATACCTCCATCTCCTCCCAGGGTTCAATCTCTTCAGCCACCCGGCACCACCTCCTCTGGTCCTGTGCCCACTATACAAGCCGACCCCCCCAGCCCAACCACAGAGCCTCCCAGCCAGCCTCCAGCCATCCCCCTACACATCCTGATCAAGAAAGCCCTGGCCAGCCCTGGCCCCATTCAGCCCAACCCAGATGGCTCCCAAAGGGCCCACTCGCTACTGTTTGAGACTCCTCCAGACATCTTCACTGAGGCGGGGGTCAACTCGCGTTACTCTCTCCCCGTCACCATCGAACCTCTTAGGCTGTAAGTGTCCCACATACTGTAAATTACATGCTTGCATAACGGATCATCATTGCTTTGGAAGCTGAGGATGAAGGGGAGCAGTTTGCCCTACTTTGCATTCCTTGATTTGAAGTTTTATTTGTTTCAGTTTTTCTTAAACTAAAGTGAAAGCCATCTTTACTTCAGTCCCTGAGGATTCAGCCCAGTACAGCTGAAGCATCAGAGACCAAATCAAACAGATAACTAGAGAAACTTAGTCAGCAACACATTTGAACATTGATCAATTGTTTAAGCATTTCTTTAAGAAGAAAAGGACTTGTAATTGTAAAGATTTGTGCACTTAATCCAGGCCCCGAGCATGGTTACGTCACCATGATGCAACTTTTTGTGATTGAGTTTTTGGTCTTTGTTAAGACGGATTACATTTACAGTGCACGTTACACATGTAGTGGCACAGACTAAAAGCATAGCACGTGCAGCGTGTAGCAAATGGGACTAAAATAGAGCTTTTTGGTAGAGCACATCATTCTACTGTTAGAAAACAAAATGAGGTTAAAATGAAGTTGGATTATGTTGGGCTTCACTGTTTTTACTCTTCTTTTTAGTTAATCCCTTCAGCAAGCAATTGAGCAAAACAAAACAGCTGCAAATTGCCTGCAGCTGTACATAACCGTGCTCGACTGAACACTGCCTTAGGACATGAGGCCACAGGAAGCCTTGAAGTGGTACACTTTATCTCACGACTGTTTCTGAGCTCCAGCTTTTTCAGCTCTCTCATAGCTGCTGTGTTTCTTTGTAGCCCAGAAGATGATGACTTTGACATTGAGGAGGAGATGCGGAAGCTTCACCCTCAGAGGCCTCCTCGTCAGCCTGAGCTAGAACCCCGCAGTAGGAGGGCTTTGATTGTAGACAGCAGAGTCAGTGTCATCCCAGAGGGCGTAGGCCCCGAGGACAGCGAAGAGGAGTCTGACTCTGATGGCCCTGTACTGTACAGAGAAGATGATGATGATGATGATGAAGAAGATGAGGAAGTCCCTACAAGTAAGTTGGCTATTAATCAGTTATTTGGGATGCCCTGATAGTTCAGCGGTTTAGACACTGGGTTTCTTCATTACAAAACATATGGCTCGAGTATTTGTTAAAAATGTTAATATAGAAAATGACTGGTGTTGTCCTATAAAAGTAACTGACACTGCTGGATTTCAGGTTTAGCATGAGCTAAAGAGTAGTCAGAATCGATCAAAGTTTGCTTCCATAAACTGACTTCGACAGTGGTGTGGTGGGTAGAGCAGTCGTCTCCCAACCAGAAGGTTGAAGGTTTGAATCTCGGTGCCGGCAGTCCACATGTCGAAGTGTCCTTGGGCAAGACACTGAAACCCCCCGTTGCCCCCAATGGTTAGATCCATCGGTTGAGGTGGCGCTGTAGATGGCTGCCATTGGTTCTGTACTGGAAACAAATTCCTTGTGTGTAACATACTTGGCCAATAAAGGTGATTATCCTTATCCTTAGCCTGTTTGTTAAATATATGGGTTGTATATATTACAGGTGGTCTGGCGAGCCGTGTGAAGAGGAAGGACACGTTGGCCTTGAAGCTGGAGAGAGAGGAGAGGAGCGCTCAGGAGAACCATGACAACACGAGCTGGCACAATACGGAGCAGTGGGTGGCATTGAGGAGCAAGATCAGCACCACGCTGACACGGTATGGGACTCCCATCGTATCACAAACTGGTGTGCCATCCTACTGTGAAAGTGGATGTAGCAAATCAGTGTCATCCACAAGATATTAAAGCTGCCATGCACTTAAATACATCCGTTATTTATAGTGTAGTCCATAATCTTTGAGAGGCTCTCTATCCCCCACCCAAGGACAAAACACTCATATGTGCTGTTTGCCAAGATAAAATAATATTTCTTGCAGATTGATCTGTGTTGGCCTTTAAAACAGTCAGTAAACATCATTTTCTGTCTTCAGGCGGCTCAGTCAGAGGCCAACAGCAGAAGAGCTGGAACAGAGGAACATCCTTCAAGGTAAGACTCTATCTCTCCCCCTTTCTTTATTCAGGTGTGCCCATTAACATTCCTCAGCAAAACAAGGTCAAACGGGAGACTTGTCATTCTCGTCATGTCAGTATTAGCCAATTGTCCACTTTTTTTTTTTTCTTGTTTCAGTTATGTTAATAGTCACTGAATACACGTTTGTAGTATTGATGGTGAGGCTGTTTTATTAAAGCTGCATTAAGTAACTTCTCCCTCTAATTTTTGACCATTAAGGGCGAAGTGAGAATCAAACTCAAGCAGTGACACTTCCTCTTTTTGTGAAATGTTTGTAAGATCTAGTATGATATTGGTGCTAAATGATGGATTACCTTCCTGACACTGATGATCATCAGCCTGCCCGGCTGTCAGACTGGTAAGAACGTTTTTAACAGAGTGTACTTGCACTCTGAGCACTGTAAAACTCAGCCAGGCTGGATCCCAGAACCACGTAAACATAATACTTCTCAGAATCCGTCAACATGTTTTGATTCAGAATTCATACCACCACAGTTCCCTGCTTGTCCTCAAATGACTGGGCCAAGACGAGGCTTGGCACCCGCACTATGTGGCACCTTGGGCAGAGTGGGGCAGTGATTATAAGAGTCCCATTACTGCAGTGTGCCGACAGAAGCTCAGGTGAAATCTACCTGACTGGCTGCAGTTTCTCCTCTCCTCTCATGGAATGTCTTTTCTTCTTGCAGCCAAGAATGAAGCGGATCGACGGTTAGAGAGGTCCGAGATCAAACGGAGGCTCACGAGAAAGGTCAGCATGCAATAAAGTAGCTGTACCACAGACTTGGCAATATGTCGGGATCATCATCATTTTTATAATGAAGTACAAACTGACACATGCCTTCGATATTCCTGTTGTTTCTACCATCAGCTGTCCCAGAGACCCACAGTGGCCGAACTCCAGGCCAGGAAGATCCTGCGTTTCCACGAGTATGTTGAGTGCACTGAGGCCCACGACTATGACCGGCGAGCAGATAAACCATGGACCAAACTCACTCCTGCAGACAAGGTAAGAGTCAACAACACATCAACACACATTTCACATCTCTCTTGTACTAACAGAGCACTTGTGCCTTATGTCTTGTTAGCAAGAGAAAGGCTAATCCCTGTGGATTTTTAACAGCGGCATCTTTGCTCAGCTCTGAGAGGATTTGCATTCTAAGCAGATTTACGATGAAGAGAATCCTAAAAACGTAATAGAGATTTTGCTTTATGGCTGAGTTAAGCCCTCTGAGATATGAGGTCCAGTGAAGCTCAACCTTAACATGAACATCACTGGCAGTTGAATTGAATAAGATTGATCATCTCATTACAATGGCACCTGTCATGGGGTGGGACATATTCGGCAGCAAGTGAACATTCAGTTCTTGAAGCAATGTGTTGGAAGCAGGAAAAACGTGCAAGCATAAAGTGTTGGTTCTTGTGGGGTGTTCCCAGTCTGTGGTCGGTACCTACCAAAAGTGGTCCAAGGAAGGACAACCAGTGAACAGGCAACAGGGTCATGATGCCCAAGGCTCACTGATGCATGCTGGGAGCGAAGGCTCACCTGACTGGTCTGACCTTTGTAATACAAAGTGCTGAAAAACCTGATGGGTGTCAGAACACAGTGTGTCACAACTTACTTCCTACGGACCAGTCAGAGAACCCATGCTGATGTCTACAATGGGAATGTGAGCATCAGAACTGGACCATGGATCAATGGGAGAAGGTGGCCTGGTCTGAAGAATCATGTTTTCTTTTACATCAGGTGGGCATTGTTGTGGAAAAATTCTCTTTTAAAGCTCAGTGAGTGTAAAAATAAATACTTAACATCAGTTCTGAAAGTTATTACATATTTATTCCTGCAGGAAGGAGGTTTCTCTGAACAGAGTGTCTAATACAGTCTGTTACAGGGAAGCTCAATGGACAGAGTGTGTGAGTCCTTCTTATACTCAGCCTACAACAAAGAAGACAGATGCTCAAACAGATAAGGGAAACAGGATACAATTCACATCAGGATACCAGCCCTTTGGTCCCAGGTCACATCTGGTTTGGCAACCAAAAGGCATACAAAGGTTTACGACCATGCAATAAATGGTCTGGGGGTCACAACCACACAAATAACTGCATACAGTGACATGAAAGCCACAGCTAAAGAACTTAAGGGGTGCTATTATTAAAAAAATTGCCACCACAGCATCCAGGTGCATGTGTGTGGCTTGCCTGGGGAAGACATGGCACCAGGAAGCACTATGGGAAGAAGCAAGTTAGTGGACGCAGGGTGATGCTCTGGACAGTGTTCTGCTGGGAAACCGCGGGACCTGGCATTCATGTCGATGCTACTGCGACACATACCACCTGCATAAACATTGATACAGACCAAGTGTGCCCCCTCATGGCAACAGTATTCACTGATGGCAGCAGCCTCTGTCAGCAGAATAAAGTGCCCTGCCACACTGCAGTGTTTAGGAATGTTTGAGAGACATGACAAGATAGAGGAGTTCATGGTGTTGCCTTGGACTCCAGATTCCACAGATCTCAATCCAATCAAGCATTTGTGGGATGTGCTAGACAAACAAGTCAGACCCATGGGAGCCCCACCTCGCAGGACTTAAAGGATCTGCTGCTGACAACTTGGTGCCAAATACAAAAATGGAATCCATCCCTCAGTGGCTCAGAGGCACAAGTGGGACCTACACAATATGGTGTGTGCAGGAACACAAATCATCTGTAAGCTAAAGGTGGCAGTGGCATGATTTTAAGTACATGCTCAAGTTGTCCTAAAAACGCACCAACTTTTTCAGTTTGTCTGGGTTTCTAGCATTAAGAAATGTAAATATACAGAGCTTTTATCAGACACACACCCATTCTCCAGCAGATACAGTAAAGCCATTCTCACTGAAGTGCTGTTTCTTTCATGTTTCCTCTTAGGCTGCCATCCGCAAGGAGCTCAATGAATTCAAGAGTTCAGAGATGGCGGTCCATGAAGACAGCAAAATCTATACCCGGTCAGCCTTGTACACAGCACCCATTAATAAATCACCTCACTGTTTTCCACTGTTTATTAGTTCTGTTTTCTCTATTTGTCTTTTATTATGCAGTAAAGTATCTATATAACTTTCCCTCCTTCCTTCTCCTCCAGGTTCCATCGGCCCTAGCTGTCCACGCTGACCAGTAAAGCACTTAGTCTGGGAGAGGTGAGGAGGTGCAAGCTCTTCTCCCTATTATGGACTGAAAATGTGGCTCAGTTGTTTTGTTTTTCTGATTGCCTGCTAACCTGCTTCAGCTGAAGACTGTTTTGTTTTGTTCAGCTGCTGCTGAAAAAAACATGAGCCTAGGTGAACGAAGCCACAAGTGAGTTCAGCCACAGCTGGTTCTCAGATTCCAGTGCTTACACTGTGGAGTTCAGGACAGGACCAGTTTGTTGGTGTGCCCATGTTGGAAGTGCCCAGTGCCAACACTAAAAGAGCGAGGACTCCCACCTCCACCCCTGTGCTGGAGTTTCAGAAAGAGTTGGATGGAACGGGAAGCTTAATTCACGCCGTTGCCCCCTCAGGAAACCACTCTCACCATGCCTTCACCTGCCTTCATAATGCATGTTTTCCCTTCCTTGCAGAACAGGAAGGCTGCACATAAAGAGAGCCTATGGTGGACCCTGTTAGCACTGTTGATGGTACCAACAAACTAATCTGAACTTTGTTGAGCACTGTTTATATGTGCTTGTTGGGTACTACAGATTTTTATTCAACGGTGTCACACAGCCTCAGCATTAATCCTCACATGACCTGTGTTCAAAGTGTGGAAGACTTTGATACAGCACTGTTTTTTTATTTAAACACCACATGTAGTTTCTTTTGAATCAACAAGTGAGCTCTGTGTGTAGACCTGCAGAGCACTGATTCTAGCTGAACATCCTAATGTGCATTTTACTGTATTGTCTTGATCATTGAAATGATTTTCATGGAACATATCACTAGATTGTCTTCTACTGAGGCACCTTATGTTCCTTAATTGAGCATGTAGACAAAACCTCAAGTTACGAGCCTCTAATTTTGTTTATAATTGAATTATTCAAACAGGAAAATGGCTATTTTTTAAATTTTCCTGGCTGCTTTTATGGTACGTTCTATTATCCTGTATGAGCAAGTCGATAGTGGCTGCAGTTGTATAGATCACTTGGTAGATTTGATTTACTTTATAATGTACATCTATATCAATGCTGACATGTTTTAATTATAAAGTATATCATAAATGTTATTTCAAAGCAGTAATGGTACAAAATATTTTTTCTTTTTTATACAGAGATTTTTAAAACTTTTTGCAACCACACTATAAATGAACAGTCCACTCAGAAATTAAAATATGTGATTTCCATTTCAACATGGTCTGATTATTCCACGTCTATCCTTGACCCTTGTGCCCTCCTTGCATGTACTGCCATTTGTACACCTTAAAAAAACTGCTATTAAATCATACATCAATTTTTTTTTAGTTTTTTTTCCATAAGTGTCTTAAACCTCAGATTTCTCAAAACTACTAAACATTCAATAATTCTCAGAATTGTAACTCTTTAAATGCCAGTTAGTGATTTGCATTTTCCATATACTAAATAGTAGGAGGATGGGTTTTTGGTGGTGATTAGTCTTGGATATGTCAAAGATCACCCAGTTGGTTTGTGTATGTGTTTTTTTGTGGTGCCAGATACTCCAGCTGGACAGCTTCATGGCCAAAATTGGCCCATTGATATCCATTACAACCACTTTTTATTTACAGTATGTAACCATGTATTCTGTAATGGCAGCATCTCATTTTGAAGAAAAGTAGTGATGTTTTTACTATATTTAACCAGATGCAACCTTTCCCCCATTGTAAACCAATGCATGAAAATCTTTTATTTTGGAGCCATGTGACTACCAGGGGGCCCCAAGAGGTTTTTTATTTTGTGTGTTAATCTGTTGACACACTGATAAGTTCAGAGGTGAAAAAAGTGCATGTTTTCAAGGATGGTTTGTGTCTTTGGAGAGGTGCTTCAGTAAAAACATGGCCTCCTGCCTTTGCTGTACTCAAAAAGTGATGGCTTTTATGTGCACATGGCACATAAAAGAATAGCACAGAATAACGACGTCTACATCATCTGGAACTGAAGAAAGGCTGTGGGTGACAGGAATGCATCTTGATGTAAGGTTGTCAGGCATAACATTATGACTTCTGCACTTCTGCTTTAACATTTGTGTTTATGAAGCTCAAATGGTGGTGTGCTGGACTACTTTATATTCAGAATATTAGGAACACCTCTGATTATAATGTAGTCCAGTACAACACCACCTTTAACAATCTGTCCACAAACTAAAACAATTTGAGCTTCATAAACAAATGTTAAGGCAGAAGTGTTGCACAGAGGTTATCAATAACAAGACTGCACACAGTACCTGGATGTGAGGTCAGGTTTCTTTGCAGCATCAGGGAAGAACTCCAGAGCAATGGTTTCTTTGTTTCTGGCCATCTAGAGGATCAGGACCTGTTACAGAGTTAACTCAATCTGCCAAATCCACCAAACAAGTTTATCCTCAGTGAATTTAAAAGATAATTCTCTTTGCCATAAACATTACAGATAGAACACAAAGTTTTTACTAAAGCAATACAGGCTCTGAACTTTTGGTTTAAGGCACAACAACAAAGCTTCATTATCCTACAGTAAGCAAAACTGTTATACTACTGGGGCCCGTTTCAAGAAGGAGGTTTTGTTGAAACTCTGAGTTTGTTAACCCCGAAATAAGGAAAACTCAGAGTTTTCGGTTCCAGAAACGGAGGTAACTTAAACCCGTGAAAGCGGGGTAAGTTAAACCCGTTTCAAAAAGAGAGGTAATCTAAACTCAGAGTCAGTTACTATGGCAACTTACTCTGTGAACCTAACCTGTATGGGAGCAGGTTTTGTTCGGGAAAGCCAGAGTTTCCTTCGGTCTCCGCCCCTTTTTAAAGTCAAAGGTGTTTAAATAGGCCTACCTCATTTAATCTTTCAGTACATTCATAGATTGCACATGTTTCCGTCAC